CAAAAATGGGATTTTTTGGTTTTTTGCCTATTATATCCATACCAGGGGCGGGGTTATCGAAACCCGTTACAAAATGATTAAGAACATATTGGGTCATATAAAACAGGTCACTATAATTTGATATCGACTATGCGATTTGAGAATTTATGCTCAAAATTGAATTTTCTATAAAAAAATAGGGTTTTTTTTGGATGGATCTGGTCCCCTCGGTATCAAAAATTTTTAGGTTTTGTTTCATTTATCGTATTTTATGTAAAGTCAGCTTTTCAAAAAGTATAAATTCTATATACATCTTCTTAGAAACTTTTTAGATAACTTAAAAAGAAAAAGATACTTTTTTCCCAAAAAAATGGCAAAAAATCGCCTTTTTTTAATTTTTTAAATTAAAATGCCTATAACTTTGGACTCAGTCATGATTTTTACATAATTCTTTCACTGCTTGATATATAAACTTGTTGTTAAGCGAATAAAAAAAGAAATGGCGAAAATCGGGAATATTTGGACCCGCTATTATCAAAAAACTAAAGTAAGAACGGTAAAAATTTTAAAATTTTAATTTTCAAATGCGAATATCTCCTAAACTATAAGAGATAATTTACTGCTATGACATTTTTTATAGTGCTCGATGAGGAGATTCAATATACGAAATTTTTTTTAAATCGGAACTCAAATGAAGAAATAGGATCGTTTTAAAAATTTAACATAGCCGAGGTGTCCTAATTTGAGGACCCCCCGCCGGGCCCCTGGTTGGCCTATAAGGTCCAAATTCAAAACCTAAACTCGACAACACCTCCTCTTTGTGCATACCAAATTTCATTAAAATCGGATTAACCGTTTAGAAGTTACCGAATTATTTCCCTCTTTTTTTTTCCTATACCACTGTGCAACACATATTTATTTAGTTATTTGTCATGCATCTATGCTGTCAGTAGTATTTATTTCTAGTATTTTTCTATTCACCTTTTACCAAACGATTGTCCTGATTTAATTTTTACTCTCACTGTTTGATGTTTTTGTTATCATGCTTGCTGTTGTTGTCGTTTTAGTTTAAGTTAGTTGTTGTCATACCCTACAGTACTACACGGTTGGTTCCGATATTTCTGATGTACTTACATAAATATGAAACCTACATCATAAGGATCAAAGCCCTAGGACCCTTTTCTAGAAATTATTTATAGCGAGAATATGATATTATACAGAAATGTTAGTTTTTTATATTTTTATTGATTAATTTCTTAATGTTTGTTTTTTACAGTAGTTTCGGTTTATTATAGGACGTAGACCCCATACTTTTTTCCGAAGGACTTAAAAGAACAAAGGACAAGAATCGTTCTATAAATAAGTGAAGTCCCCAAATAATTATTACCAATAACTGATGTAGTGTGTTACATATTCGTCCTATCTAACTATAATTTCCTACTTGTTTTTAATCTGATTTCTTACTACCTTTCATTCATTTGTTTTTTTCTATGTTCTTTTTTACAATACGAAGTATTTGCAAACTTTTTATTTGTAAAGCAATTTTCTTTATTTTGCTATGATTGTTAAAACTATTTGTTCACACAATTCATTGTCTTGCAATTACTTCTTTTTGTATTCCCTGCAGTTCGGAATTGCTGTCTGGGTTTAGTGACTTAATCTAATATTTAAGTGTTGGTTTTAAATTTAGGTATGCGATTAGTTCTTTTAATCGTTTGCTTATCCTAGAAGAAAGTCACATTAGCGACAACAAATGACTTGTCAACAGATTACTTCTGGCAGGTTCTGGCAGGTTATATGTTACAATATATTAAAAAAATTTCCTTACATTACTTATACTCAATTAGAGAATTATTATTATAGATTGGGTTCAAATATTCCAAAAATATGTAAATTTATATTAACTCTTTGTAAAACTGTTGGGTTTTACTGTTTAACTTTTCATGTGAGTGTTTGATTATAATATATAGATTGGTAGTTTTGCAATTTATTGTGTGCATGAGGCATGAAACCCACTTTAATTTCTTTCGAGCACATACACACATGTGTCTACCTTGTCATCATCATAGTTGACATGGCTGTCAGCGAAACGACTAAACAGCAAGCGTGACAATTTAATTTCACTTAATGCCATTATTATTTTATATATCCACCATCAAAAAAGATGAGGGGGTTATATTGATTTTGTACTTCCATTTGTAACACATCGAAATATTGATTGTAAACACAAAAGTGTATATATTCTGGGTCCATATTAAATTCTACGACGATCTAGCCATGTCTAGCACTATAAAGTCCGAACGGAATGAGCTAGAAGATTTAAATTTTCCACAAATATTCTCTATAGATAAGGTTTGTTTGGTATTGAAATTGGGCAATATCGGTCTACGTTTTCGGATAGCCCCCATAAAAGTGGATCCGAAATATAGCTTTATCTGTTTTAAAAGTACGAGTATAGCAATGAAATTCGAAAGAAATAAGTTTCATATGATCTAAAATCTCCTTGCCAATTTTTACGTGGATCGGTCCATAACTGACCCTACCCTCCATATAAGGTCCCCTTCAGAAAATAACTTTAACGCTCATTACTGGCTTAAAAATACGAGTATATTGATGAATTTCGACACACATAAGTTTCAATGGAGCCAAAATCTTCCTATCAAGTTTTATGTGGATCGGTCCATAGTTGATCCTCCCCCATATAATGTCCAATTCAAAACTTTAACACTCATTACTGGCTTAAAAATACTAGTATAGCAATGAAATTTGACATAAATGTCTTATGATCTCTCTACCAAATTTTATGTGGATTGGTCCATAATTGACCCTTACCCCCATATGAGGTCCCCTTCTGAAAATGACTTTAATGCTCATTACTGGCTTAAAATTACGAGTAAAGCGATAAAATTTGACGCCAGTAAATTCCTTGCGATCCAAAATCACTTATCCAAATTTTATGTTTTATACGAGTGAAATTTATTGGGGATCGGTCCATAAGAAAATTACTTTAATGATCATTGCTGACTTAAAAATACGTGAAAATTTATGAAATGAAAAAACATTTATAGGAATGTAAATCTTCCTACCGAATTTCATGCAGAAAGTGTCGGAAAGTCATTACTGGCTTAAGAATAAAAGAAATTCGGCACACATAAGATTCAATGGAGCCAAAATCTCTTTATCAAAGTTTTATGTGGATCGGTCCATAGTTGAACCTACACCGCATATAAGAACCCAAGTAAGTTCCTTGCGAACTGAGCAATATCAGATGATGTTGATAGTGGCAATATGAGATTCGGCACAGCCGAATACAACACCCTTACTTGGTAAATTTCAATTTGTAAATATAATTAATAAATTAAATGAAACTTATTTTACCATAAATGAACTAACTATTACTTTAACTTTTACTTAAAAAAAATTAACAAATTCCATGAAAAAAATATTTCTTTATTACGAAACAAAGTATAACAAGTAGTCCGACTCTCACATATAGGAAATTACTCTCTCACATATACGAGTTCCGTGTGAATTCAACTCTCTTGTGAGAAGTTTAAACTTGTCAAAACCCTCAAAAGTTTACCTTTCTTTTTTGACCACTTTTAAGGATCGTACGCGAAATTTGAGTTATCCACAAAAAATCCGTAATTTTTTAAAATAGATTCATTGCACTTTTTACATAAAATATTGTTTAATTTTCTTAAACTGGAAAAAAATTTCTATTTATTGACATTTCATTTTTGTTGTTGTTTAATTTTAATTTACAAACAGAGTTTCAATTTTTGGTATTGAAAATTCAAACAAATTTAAAATTGTAATTTTTTATAAAACTCTGTGTGTTCAAAACGCACCAACACATATACATTTTTGTTACCAACACATATTTAGAGTTAGGTACTTTTTCACTAACACATGCTTAGAGTTAGGTACTGCTGTCAAAGAGTCGGACTACTTGTTATACTTTGTTACGAAAATAATATTGTAATATGTATATTTATTTATATAGAAATTTTTTTTAAATTAATACCTGTTGCTCTAATTACACAGTGAGACAAAATAAACGAAAATTGAAATACCTGAGAAGTAATATTATTTTTCTGAAAGAAGATCAGATTAGAACAAGAATCAATTTTTGAAATTTGACAAACGCCTCCAAAATCACAGGTATTTATTTTTGTTGCATAGTGTTATTTAAGTACTAATAAAGTAAAGAGATGAATAAAATCTAAATTGCGTATGAAAGTATATGTACCTTTCATTTGAGCTATTAATCATGAAATTCTAAAGGAGTTTTTGGAGAGAATATTTTGTTTTGCCAAAAATTAAATCATTTCTATTATTTTTTCCACCACTGTATTTCAATGTTACCCCATTTTTCTTTCATTATTTTTTCATGGCATCAGTTTTAATTTTTATTACTGCAATATGTAATTTTGTAATTTTTTTTGTCTAATTACTTTAATATCTTTATACTTTTCAATAGAATACTGCAAATAAAAGAATTCTACTTTTTATTTCATCGTTGTAAATTATTGGGAAATAATTGATTTGTAAATGTTTGAAAAAATTGATTTCAAAATTAGTTTAAAAGTGGAAAAATATAATTGCGCAATATGTATATAATTTAACAATGTTTGTTGCAACTTTTTTATATATACGTAGAACAAAATATGCAATTAATTTTGGCTAGCACAATAATGCCTAAAAGCATGCAATATTTTTTAGGAACATATAATTTTCAAACAAAATGATTTATATGCAGTATTTTTTTTCATTTTAGTAGCAAAAAATTTAAGTTATTTAAAAAATGTTTGTTTATTTTGAGCATTTATACTGATGGATTAAAATACAATTTTTGTTTAACCATTTATAATGGGGTAATAAGAAAAGGAAGTTAAAAATTAAACATTTTGTATTTTATGTGGAAATTATTTTTGGATATTATAGACTTCCGTTAAATTTAAGTTTATAAATAAATATGTTTACGCTCATAAAACTAATTTATTTCTCTTTAATTTCAGGTAAATGTTAATATAAAATACTAATGGCCATACAAGTCCGTAAGTTCATATATTAACGTTTTTTTTTTAACAAATAAAAACTAAAGCATATTTTTAGGCTATAAAATATTTTATGACATAAAGCATATTTTAAGACATTTAATATATAAAAACTTAAAACTCGTTAACTTTTACTGACATACTATACCCACAAACATAAATCATTGCCAACATCCATCTAAAAAAAATATATTGATGTTTAAAGGAAAACGAAAAACAATTACCTTAAATATTACGACACATAAAAGTCAAGTAAAGTCAACTGGCTAACAATAGCAGCAATTTATGGATTTACATAATATTGCAAAAAAAGAAGAAATTACTAAAGGTTACAAACTAATCTTTGGCTAGAGAATATGTATAATAAAAAATGTCATTGGAATGGATAGTAAAAAATATTGAATTTTTACTAAAAGAATTTAATATAGATATCTAGACGACTGACATAACTCAAAAAAATATAGTTTGGAGAAAAATGGCTTGTAATGTTTTAGGATATTTTACTATTTCTAAAATAACTTTTAAACAAATCATGGAATTTAAAAAATAATTCTAAAGGTTGATATGTTTCTCATTTGATTTTAAAATATAAATATAAAAAAACAACAAATCTTTCTTACATCATGAATAATAAACCTTTTTCAAAAATACTTAAATAAGACATATTTGGAGTTATGCCAGTTTTGCAGCAAATAGACGATATATTTACATATGAGGCATATAGAAACAAAGGCAGCAATCTCCATTTTTACACAGAAGATTGTTGGCGAATTTGAAAGTATATATAGGAGGTATCATTAATAAAATGGAGATTGCTGCCTTTGTTTCTACACTCCTTATATATTGAGTATGTGGTTTTATAACAAGTATCAGCATAACTATGGACATCATGGTTACCATCATCAACATTACCCACACACACACATGTCATCCGTTGTTTGACCAACAAGAAATGTTATAAATTATTTTTGTTATAAAATACAGTTTATATTTTGCAAAGAATAAGGATAAACCTAAAGAAGAAAGTGTCAGCAAAAGAAAATATTAAGAGAAAAATGCATATAAGATGACAAAGAATTTCAATATGAGAAAAAAAAAATATTTTGGAATGTTAAGCATTGTATTATTGAAGATTTTATCAGAAGAGCTTATGTAAATATATATAAAAATTTTCTATTAGAAGCTTGAGTAATTTAATTTAATAAGCTTTCTAGCTCATAACTAATTTTTAATTTTTTAGATCATTCACCTCAATGCTTGATTAATCAATTAATACAACAATTTTGTTAAAAAATCTACATACACCCACATTGGAAAGTTTACAAAAGAAGGTTTTATTAAAATTAAAGCCCAGGCTCTAGCTATGAGTCTGGCAATAAATTTATGCAATTTATAAAACCATCTTGCTTTTTTAATTTTTATTTTAACTTTTGCTTAAAAAGGTAGAAAAATGAACAAAAAAAACGACATATATATGTATGTACATATGTACATAAAAGAGATATTTGGAGTAAAAGAAATCTGTACACATATATCACTCAGACATGAGAACACATTGTACTAGTCGGACAGACTAAAATAAGGATGAATGTAGGGACAGACATGCTGCAAAATATTGACATATTTAAGCACGTGTCTTTGGTGTTATTTTACCGGAAGGCTGTACTTAACACCCACTCTTTAAAATACTGGCAAACACATATTCACATGTACCACATGCATATACCTATTCAAGCATAAGGATTTATTTTCGTAAATAAAAGGACATACTAGCGCCTAAATACGAGAGTCTTCTTTAAAAATCGTTAAGATTTTTTAGAAAAAATGTGAATATATAGGAAAATCATGGAACTATGTAAATTTATACGTTTTATGTATTTTTATTCGAAGAACAGAAACATTTTTAAAAGCCTATAAATAAAGCGTAAAATTTTGAATAAATTTGCTTGCCAGACAAATTATAAAATAACGTAACCAACAGAATTGCTTTGAGTTTTCTCTAGAATTTTATAAGTGAACCCTCGTAAATGCATATTTTATATAACGACCAAAAAATAAAAACAACAACTACATCATATGTCAGTTTAAAAAAAAGGTAAGACAAAAAATGAGAAAAAAGAATAAACCAAAACTGCAACTAACAACAAGCAACGAACGAACGGCATAAAGTTTAAACGTTTGAATGATGGTTTAACGATGATAATACCTTTTGTCATATGTATGAGTTTGAGCATTTGCAAGCATTGTTTGTTACGAAACAACAACTACAACTAACAGAAAACAGACCGGAAGTTTACCGTAGGTTAGCAGAAAGTTTAAGTGTATGGTTAAATGCATAAAAAAATATCTAAAAATAAAAATTCAACACACAAACAGTTTTCCTTGTAATTGAAATGCTATCGTTTTAAGCTTTAGTGCCTGAACATTAAATAAAAAGGTTTTAAATTAATTTATAAAATTTATACTTTAGATATGTAAATTGTGCTAAAAAATTATTTTATGTAAACCATACTAAAATCTAATTTGCGTCTTAGTGTTTTTATTTAAACTATTTATATATAAAAAGTTTATATACTTTTATGGTGATACGAGTAATAATTCGATGTGTTAGAAACAGAATATCAAAATTTATATAAATATTCCCTACGTTTTTTTGATAATTTATTTAGATAAAGTAGAAAAATTCGACAAATTCAAAGAATTTCCTTGATTTTATAGAATTTTGGTCGATAAGCTTTTTATAGAAAAATTTCTGACGAAGGAGAACAGAATAAACAATAAATCAGAAATAAGTGGCTCCTTTTTACTTTAATTAACGTTATTCATTTGATCTCGAAAAAAATTAAACGTGAAAGGTATTTTTAGACATATGCTCACATATATAAATTACTTACCAATAGAGCAAGTCCTGTAAATTTAAAGTCAAGCTAAACATTTGAAAAAGATCTTAATTGAGGTTTTTAGATTTTGTGCCCTATTCTGTAATATTCTACATTACAAAGGATTTATCGAAAATAAATGTTATTTGTGGTTATGTTAGATGGACGGACAGACCGGCAAGTGAACGAATGTGATAAGATCATTTTAGGTTTTATGCCTTGGATTAATTACTTTTTTTGAATTTTAAAGATTAATTTTTAAAAATTGTTTGTCCACATTTACCAGCATTAGTCCACATATCTACATTTGGAATAATTTACTAAAAGTAAACAGTTTTTGTAATATATTAAGTTTTTAACAGATAGACAGACTGACTGACTGACTGACTGACTGACTGACAGACAGACAGACAGACAGGTAGATAAACAGTTAGACAGACAGGCATACAGACGGACTGGCAAACACAAACAGACATGTTGACAGACAGGCGGACGGAGTGGCAAACACAGACTGACAGAAATGACATATACATACAGACAGAAATGCAGGTAGATAAACAGTGAGGCATACAGACAGACGGTCTGGCAAACACAAACAGACTTGCTGACAGACAGACGGACTGATAGACAGACATGGCTTGATCGTGTTTTTTTTTTTAAATTAGCATTTTATGAGTCGATTATATATCTCGGTTATTGAGAATCGGGTCGTTCCGGAGCGAAGATCCAATTGTCGTGGGAACGATGTATCTCGATTGTCATTTCAGCTGCGTTGCCAAAATGATGTGGTTACTTGAGCCGTTTTTAGACAGAAAACATTCTGTTATTTGAAAGCTGACAACGCAACTGAAGTTCTGCTCTAAGGACTAAGCTTACTGCTACTGGTTGAAATCGTTTGATTACTTCACACAGCCCACATACAACCGGACCAACTGATTAAGAAAATTTAGTTTGTAATTATGCCAAATAACGACTTTCCTAACACTTAGTTCATAATTAACCACAACTCACATACTAAGTCCCTCACTGAAAGTGACTTTTACTTACATAATTCATTTATGAATATTAGCATAGGTATAAAGTCTTACATAAATAAGTTTAATAAGAAGTTCCAATTCTATCATTTAATATTTTTAAGTATAGATAAATAATTGATTCTTTCTTCCAAAATCCATTCATAACCGAAAACACTTTCCTGCTTGTTTTGTCTGCCTTAAAAATTTTCCGATATCCTACTCCTTAACTACTTCTCGCTATATCTTCTTGTTAGATTTTTTCAAATGACATAAATTCCAATAAAAAGAAGAAAATAATCCTTAACCTCTTGTCAAAAAATAAAGAAAAAACTAAAAAAAAACCAAGCCAAAAAACTTTATACAACCTTCAAAAACAAAAATTGACATTAAAAACGTGATGTTTGAATGTAGTAGGAAAAAAATCTCTTATATGCAAAACAACAAGGAACATGAGATTGCTGTCATATATGCACGCATAGAGTCTCAAAGTTATAAAGGTTCTTATTAAGGGATTTTTTTCTATTTTTAATGTGAGTATGTGCTTTGCCTTTTGCCAAACATTATGTCACCAGTGTCAGAGAAACAAAAAAACCTAAAGATAATCAATAAAGGAATACGTGTAAATGCATAATAGCGCTTGCATTAATATACATAATGTTCTTTCTCCTTTTTTTGGGGGGGATGGAAGAAACATTCCTGTTTAACATACATATGGAGGTCTATATAAATTGCAGGTTTTTATTCTACGAAAAAGGGTTAAATAGAGTAAATGACACTTTAATAGATTATTTTGACACAAAAGTAATGGGAAATTGTATTTATGATGCCTTAAAGGTTTATAGAAGGAAGTGTTATTTTGATAAGGATTTTTGCCAAAATTTTGAGAGAGAGTTTTTAAAGTATTCTTGCCTGGTTTGTTAAATATTTAAGTAGTTATTCAATATTATGCTTTTTTACTTTAACCAATAAATTCTGTAAGATTTTTTTAATACAAATTTTAAAAATTTTAAATAAAATTTAATGATTTAAAATGCACAATTTTATTTTTGTGATTTTTTTATTTTAATAAGTCTTAGCATTCCATTACATGCAAAATTTGATACATTTTAAATGAATTATTTTAATAACCCAAATTCTGAGAAACAAACAAATATTAAGTAATTTATATTTTTTTACTTTCATATTCCTTTGAGAAATTTAAGAATTTTTATACCCACCATCAAAAAAGATGGGGGGTATATTGATTTTGTCATTCCGTTTGTAACACATCGAAATATTGCTCATAGACCCATAAAAGTATATATATTCCGGGTCTTTATTAAATTCTAAGACGATCTAGCCATGTCCGTCCGTCTGTCCGTCTGTCCGTCCGTCCGTCCGTCCGTCTGTCTGTTGAAATCACGATAGGGACCACACGAGAGGAGCTAGACAGTTGAAATTTTGCATAAATATTCTCTATTGTAAAGGTTTGTTTGGTATTGAAAATGGGCAATATCGGTCCACTTTTTCGGATAGCCCCCATACAAGTGGACCTCCAAAAAACAGCTTCAACGGGCATAACTGCTTCAGAAGTACAAGTATAGCGATGAAATTCGACATAAATAAGTTCCATATGAGCCAAAATCTTTCTACCAAATTTTTTCAGGATCGGCCCATAAATGACCCTACCCCCCATATA